CTAGGACTACCTGATATATCTAAGCCTTTTTCACTTTATGTGGATGTAAGACAAAATGTAGCTTTAGGGGTCCTTACCCAAAAACAGGGAAGTTGGAACTGCCCTGTCGCTTATCTGTCAAAACACCTGGACATTTCTTCACAAGGCTGGCCCCAATGTTTAAAAATTCTAGCAGCAGTTATGCTATTACTGCAGGAGGCAAACAAGTTAACCTTTTCAGCTCCAGTGACTGTTTATACTAGTCATGCCTTGCAGACAATCATTGACAATAAAGGACATTTATGGATAAGTAATCAATGAATGCATAAAATACAGGCTCTTTTATTAGAAAATCCACAAGTTACACTGCAACAATGTTCAACTTTAAACCCAGCAACTCTAATGCCAATTCCTGATTCAACCAAACCTGTTCATGACTGCATGCAAACAATAGAACTACAATATTCTTGCAGACCTGACCTTACAGACCAACCCTTGCATAATCCAGACTATCAATGGTTTACTGATGGTTCTAGCTTTATGGATAAAGGATGTAGATACTCTGGTTACGCAATAGTTTCTCAAACTTCTACTGTTGAATCAGCACAGTTGCCTAGTCAAGCCAGTTCACAGTTTGCAGAATTATATGCCTTGACCCGTGCATTAGAAGTAGCAGCGGGAAGGACTTTAAATGTATATACAGATAGTAAATATGCATTTTTAACAATACACGCACATGTGGCTATCTACAAAGAGAGACGATATTTGGATTCCACAGGCAAAGTTATCCAATATGCAACTTTGATTAAAAGACTTATCAAGGCAGCCCAATTGCCATCCAAAGTTGCAATCATCCATTGTCCTGGACATCAAAAAGACTCAAGCCTTATTACCCAGGGCAATAGGAAGGCAGACAAAGAAGCAAAAAGAGCTGCATTAGAAGGTCCCCCTCTCCAATCAGATGTCACAAGGTTCATGTATCTAGGATTTCATCAGATAATGGCCCTGAATTTGTACACCAAATCAATCAGGCTTTAGCCCAAGCATTAGGAATTAAATGGAGATTTCATTGTGCTTTCCGCCCTCAATCGGCTGCTAGAGTGGAAAGATCTCATAGAAAGATCTCATAAAACACTTATTACCAAATTTTGTTTGGAAACTCATCTACACTGGCCAGATGTTTTGCCTATGGTTTTGTATGCAATCAGACTGGCCCCCCGCACTAAATTACAACTTAGTCCTTATGAGCTCATGTTTGGCTGTCCTCCTTGCCTGTTTAAACCTGACAGTCAAGGATGGCCCGATTTGGCACATAAGGGGGGAGTAGATCAACAGAAATTGTTACATCAGTTACAGCTTCATAATTTGGCCATTTCAAAATTGCGCCATTATATGATGGAACAACAACCCCCTCCAGTGGTTACAGCAACACATGGGTTCAAGCCTGGAGATAGAGTGTGGGTAAAGCACTGGAAATCAGATCCCTTGAGCCCAAGATGGAAAGGACCGTATACTGTTGTCATGTGTTCTCCTTTGGCAGTGAAAACCCTGGAAGGAAATCTTGGATCCATTGGAGTAGAGTGAAAGCAGCTGCACCTGCAGATCCGGTGACCTACAAGGTGGATAAGACTGACAAGCCTTTGGTGTTGAAATTTACAAGAAATACAGCAACGGGTTCCCAAGACACGGTGTGATCAACAACCTTGCTGAGACACCCCAGGAAGCTGTCTCTCTACGCACGGTGGAAGATATGAGGATTCTACAGCTCGTAATATTTGTTAATTATTTAATATGCACACACATTCCTACACAAATCAGTACAATGGCTACACGAGAGGTCATAATACAGAAACCCTCTAATAAAGAATTATTGAGTAGCACACACCAAGAAAGAGCAGAAACACAGGGAAACCAAGGTTGTCAAAACTGTATCAAAACTACAAAACAAGGAAACCAGATAACCAAGACTTTGATTTACCATACAGTTAAACCATAAGGGTGCCAAGATAGTTCTCCTGACTCTTGTACATACAATAGAACTACATATAAAGTTTGTAGAAAAGGTGTCCAATATCAGTGTTATAACCCGAAGTCTGATCCTGATCGTTGGGCCTTACAAATCAAAACACATAGAACAAGAACTAGCTATAAGGACCATACACTCTTAGGGATCTCCCAATGGAAATCCAATCCACACTCCAGTTTTAGCGTCACCTTTGATGTTTGCAAAGCAGCTAATTATTGGACTCCAACATATGGTTGCGGAGGGATCGGTAATATTCACAACTTTATCCCAAAACATAAGTACTTATGCCCACCAGATGGATGTGCGGTCAAATGTAAGTGGTGGTCATGTATTAAGTGGCATACCCAAGACCCAAAAGAGATAGACCACATCTTGTTTGAAAAGAATGAAACAAAAGCAAATTCCTGTGGAACGGATAACTGTAATTTGGTGACTCTCACAGTCAAGAATGGCAGTTGGTTCCTAGAACAAAATAGGTGGGACGGTAAGAAATGGATGTTTGGGATAGGAATAGATACAAATGGCTATGACCCAATGTCAGAAATAGAAGTCAAAATTATAACTGCAACCAAAAGACCAGAACAAAAATCATTATTTTGGTCATATTATGAGGAAATGGAGAACCTACATATTCCTGAAGTATCTAGACATGTAACCAATACCTTTGTTAAGTTAGCAGAAGACATTGCTCATACTTTAGGCGTGTCTAACTGTTTTGTGTGTGGTGGAACAAACATGGGAGAAAGGTGGCCATGGGAGGCACAAGAGTTAAATTATACCAAGGTACTGGAAATGTCTAAAAATAATAATTTAACCTATACAAGTGGGAAAGATGGTGATTGGGGTCTCACTTCCAATTTGGTAGGACACGTATGTTACTCAAGAAACAAAACAGAATCTTGTGTAGCAGTAAGTGACCTCCTATGCACAGGGATATGGGAAGATGGTAAATGGTGGTCTGGAACCAATGAGACCACTGCTATGGATCCTGGAATTAACAAGGCTGCTATGACTATGAAGGTTTGTAGGCCTGAAAGTTTTGTTAATTCTAGGATGTATTTTAATTCCTTGCTTGATCCCCTGTCTTATAGCCATGATTCGGAGAATCTCAGAAAGTACAGCCCAATTAACAGCAAAACATGAAACAATGTTAGCCTTATGGGAATATAAAGTGGTACCTTCAGGAGATCCGGAATCAGAGGTAGAATAATGGAAGTTTAAGCTGGAAAACTTCCAAAAGGGGGGAGTAAAGTGGGAAAGAAATAGAATAACATAGAATAAAGAAGAATAAAGTAATAATAATAATAATAATAATGAAAAATCACTAAAAGCAAAAATCACGTGTCTGCATAATCTCTGAAAAGAAAGTTGTGTTAGCCAAAAGCTGTATTAACAGTACGTGAATGACCTAATGCATATTTAGAAACATTGTATAAAAGTAAAAACTGCCTTCATTGTATTCCCATGAGAAATGGAGCTAACGTGTGAGAAACTATCTGAATGTTACACAAAGTAGATTCCATATACAATGTAAGATTCCATCTATGCTTCCTTTGTTCCTGAGAAAAAGAAACCTATAAAGCTTTAGTTTAGACCCTCCCCCTTGTTCAGAAATTTGCTGATTGTTAAATCACTTCTGAACCTTTTGCGCAAAAATAAAGATCTCTCTTTCACCCATGGAATTTCGTAAAAGCCCTTTATTTTTTAAGGCTTTATTTTTCCACAAGAAAGATGCTGCAATGGTTGTGTTTAAAATGGTCATAAGTCACTTTTTTCAGTACCTTAGTAATTTTGAGCGGTCACTGAATGAACAGGTGCAAGTTGAGGACTACCTATAATGAAAGATTGGACTTTTTTTTCTTCACAATAAACTATTGTTTTAAGTTAGGTGAAATTGACAAGAGTTTTACCAGTTTCCCTAACTAGTCCACCTGACAGGAGGAATGATACCATAGTACATTTATGTTCCCTCACCCCACCAAATTCCAAGTGGATTTTTTGGATGGGCAGGTGCAAAATACAAATCAAATTTCACAGAGGGGGCTTATCAATGGAAACTACTTCTTCTCCAAGAATTGCTCTCAGAAAGGATAGAGCAGGGGTGTCAAACTGCCGGCCCGTGGGCCGGTTTCATCATACTGGAGCTGCACCCACCCCATTGCTGGCAATGGCAAAAAAGCTCTGATACGTTGCACGACATCACATGACGTCACGAGTTTTACATGTCTGGGACAGAGATTGGTGCTTACTTTCCTGGCATATAAGGGGTAAAGAAGCATAGGAATCCCACTAGTTGGCAGCTGTGGTAATGTCTGTCGGGATACAACTATTGCCTCCCCTCAAAGCCAAGGGACATGGATTGAAATCGAGCAGCAGTTTCTTAAGCCATGTTCAACTCCAGTCAGTTTCCACATGGGAGATAAGCAGCTTTAGGCTAATGTGTGGAAGAATCCTTAGTTCAGCCATCTGGGGTTTTATTAAATAAATACAGTTTGGTACAATACAGAAACTATTGTTAATTGGAGAGGGCTGTGGGGCCCATTTCTTAGAAATCTAGAAGTAGAAAATTCTCCATCCAAGATGTCTGTCTTGAAGGACTTCCAGCAAGAGGTCATTACCTCAAGGGTAATCACTCCATTATCAAAGTGCTTTCTAACATTCCTCCATATATTCCTGCCCTTTGAGAAAGCAGAGAAGAAATCTTGGCCTTTTTATGACAAGTCAAGTATCCAAAGTTTACTTTTATGTTCCCATCAACCTTCTCTCCTTCAGAGTAGGCATAGTCTAACTCTTTGATATTTCATCTTAGAACCTGTTTGCTGTACAACTGTCCTCCCTTTCAAAAACTACTCAAATATGTCTGTTGATATCCAGAACTAGACACGTACATCTTGATTTTGGCTTAGGACAACCTTTGAATGCAGACATCATGTGAAATTGGAGATAGATGTATATATCCTTTCAGTGCTCATTAATAAATTGCCATGGAACAAACTTAGAATGCTTTTATTTTTATTTTTTTTAAAAAAACAATAACTTAACTTTCTTACTACATACAAATCACAAGAAGCATCTGGTTGCGAAATACTAACATTAGAAATTTGTGCAAAGAGGGCATAAACCAGTATAGAACAACAGTATAAACTGGAGAAGAGAAAAGCAGCTGCTTTGGGCAACCTATGCAAAGCAAACTGGAGGGAAAAGAAACCTCAGTCCAGCAGGAAAATGATGAATAATGGAAATTGACATATTCTGACCTTAGTTTTCCTCAATGCACAAATCTATATAAAAGTCAGGATACCTTAAAGCAAAGTATTTGCACTTGAAGATTGGAATGTATGCAGGTCAATATTCTTATTTTAAAAATTGTTTAGAAAAATGAATTGCATTTATACGCATATCCTTTTTTAGGAGCTGGGAGAGGTTGGTTGTATTGTGAAAGGCCACCTGGTTCTTTTTTACTAGGAAAATCCTGGGCTTATATTTTGGAAAGGAGACTGTGGGTTATTTCCCAGTCAATGGCAGTTCCCAGGAGTCTTTCTGTAGGCAAGACATCCCTATAGAATTTGAACTTTGAAACTGAAGCCAATATAAATGCAGTAAAAAAAAATCAATACTGTATGCCTCACTTTGGAGTTGCAGGCATGTTTGAACAAGATTGGTTCAGGCAGAGCTTTTATCCCATAATTACAACTGATGACACCGAGCACCCAGGACTCGGCAGTTTTATGGTGCCAATTCATTTGCTATGAATGCTGCTCTGCTAGAATAGGAATTACCTACTCCAAACACCTTGTTACAAGTACAACACTTTACAGGGCTTGGGTGCATATTGCTTTCTTGCATTGTTCAGGAAGAAAATATGACTTCGCCAACTAGCACCTTCTTTGTTTGCAATCTGGCTGCTGAGATGTTATGCCTTGTCCATTCTGTATTCTCTTGGAGTTGAATACCAAGTAAAGTATATGTTGCCTGGCTCAACAGCCCAAGGATGTTATGGTTACTTAAACTATTTCATCAGCAGCATTTCTATTAAGAGCTCAAGAATGTCTGTCTTTCCAATGATGGGTTTGAAGAAAAGGTCGGTAATGAGAGCTGGGGGAATGGACCTCAAGGAGGAGGAACTCAGCAGGACTCGGGCAAATCGACCTTGATCTTCCAAGTGGAGAAGCACTAGGACTTGTTGGAGTGCTTGCTGAGCTTCTCGCTGGAGGCTCTCAATGTACGAGGAAGCCCGGAGACCTGGAATGTCTGGAAAGGGGGGAGGATGGGGAAGAGAGAGAGAGAATCTGAAATTAATTACAGACTCCTTGAAAAGGTAAACTGATTTCTTCCATTTGCCAGTGATAGAAGATTAAATTATGCAAAGTTAATTGCTTAGATTTAGAGTGTGTTCAGTTGCATTATTTATTCCTCAGTTTCACTCTGCCTCATTTACAAACTTCTATGAGAGGTGCAGCTGATTTATCCTCCAACTTACAATTCTTTTCAATTTCCCTATCATTTCCTTCCCAGCGGAAAAAAAAATCTATTCAGGAAAAACAGTATCCTGCAAACAGATATTTGACAGGGACATTTGAAAGAAGTGGCCCCACAAAGTAGAAGTTTTTATATTAAAGCTCTCAGAGTTCTGTCATGGTCCACTTGCTTTTTAACATCATTATGAAGCCTTTGCACATTAATTGTTACAGGATATTGTGTGACTCCTATTATTTCCATGTAGCAGTTTAGGGTCCTGCCTATCGGTAGATAAACTGAATGAAGAATAAACTAAGTAAACCAGTGTTTCCCAAACTTGACAATTTTAAGGCATGAGGACTTCAACTCCCAGAATTCCACAGCCAGCATTGCTGGCTGTGGAATTCTGGGAGTGAAGTCCTCATGCCATAAAATTGTCAAGTTTGGGAAACACTGAAGTAAACCAAAGCTGAATTCAAATAAAATAGAAGTGCTTATAATTCTAGGAATGACAGATCTTCCTGAACTGAAGGGAAGTTACAGTCTAGAGAGGATCAGGTGCCCATCTCAGAGAGATTCTGACATCTTTAATGGTCATGAAGTTCATGAGATGATATTGCCTGCTCATACTCTGTCCAGTGGTGGGATTCAAATATGTGAACAACCAGTTCTCTGTGTGGATGCCTCTTCCGGAAGTCCATTCTGGACCTGGGCAACAAAAAATTAGCTACCTACCGGTTCTGCCAAACTGGTGCGAACTGGCTGAGTTCCACCACTGACTCTGTCTCAGGGTAACCTATCTGTAAGGGATATTGTGAAGAAAATGAGCTTGAAGATAGAGAAGAATGCTATCTGCCACCTCAGTCTTTTTAATTGGAGGTGCAGAATATCACAGCAATAAATACAAATGCCCACTAATGAGATTGCTTAATTGGTGATATCCAAGTTCAAGATTGCTTAATTGGTGATATCCATGTGCAAACTTATTCTATCCACCCACTGAATGGCAAAGATGGTTAAGATGGTAATTGGTGATATCCATGTGCAAACTTATTCTATCCACCCACTGAATGGCAAAGATGGTTAAGAGCATGTGTGCTTTTGTCCACAAAAAGGTCCCCTTCCTCAAAGATCTGACACCACAAATTCATTAGTTTACAGATCAGTGAATGTACTCTGTCCTGTTGAGCAGTTTCGAGATACTTTGTAGTTTCTTGTCTCCCTGCTTATTTCTACGTATCTTTGTAGCAGAGAATTGGAAATTCATCCCAAAGGTGCTTTTTACAAGGCAACTTAACTTTCTTGTTTTACTTTGAAGAGGTTTTGCTTCTCATCCCAGAAGCTTCTTCAGCTCTGACTGGATGGTGGGGAATGGAAGTGAAAGGACAGTCAGAGATGTAGGAGCTTCTTGAATGAGAAGTGAAATGTCTTCAAAGTTGCCTTGTGAAAAAGCACCTTTGGGATAACTATGACCTGGATGACTGACAATCTCCGTAGACAATTGGAAAATCACTTCTTGAATTTATATTATTTATTAAATTCATAGACTGCCCATCTCACTATCCAGTGAGACTCCGAGTGACAAAACAGCCTCAACAGATGGCTTACTGTTCTGATGGCAATACTTGATGCTGCTTTGGTTATATAAAGTTTAATCTTTGGATAAAAAAACCCCAGCATCATAATTTATGATGCTCTCCGCCTTATAGTTTTGTTTTAATCAAAATACAGATGACTCACTAAAAGGAATGAAACTAGCCAAGGCTGAGAGACTGTGGAAGAATATTGCTTGTTTTCCCATCAATTATGGGGGAAAAACTATTGTGTGGCCTTCTGAAGCTATGTATGAGGACACGGCACTTACCCGGGTTGAACAGAATTGCGCCTTTCAGATAGGCATATTCTTTAGGACTCAAGTCTAGGCTCCAGAAAGAGTTTAAGCAGTACTGGAGGCGTTGCACGCTGGCCAAGGTGGGCTGCACCCGCTGCAGCTCCTGCCTCTTGCACTGGCCATCGAGAAGGATCCTCTCCAGCATGCTGGGTACAGGGGTTTCCATAACCTCAAAAGTCACCATCTCCTGCACCAAGCCCAGAAGGAAAAGGGGAGCCCAGCAGCTATCCAGCAGTAAGAGCTGATCTTCCCAAGGCAGGAGCTGGAAAGAAGGCAGGTTCTTCATGAAGCTGATGGTCTTCACCAAGACGTCAGAAGCTGCCTGGCAGGTAGCTTGTGGGGTCTGAAGGCAAACGGCACGGCGCTTATGGCACAAGCAGCGTTGTTGGGAAGAGCCACGGCTACCCTTGTGGTGAGTCAAGTTCTCACTGAGCAGCATGTAGAGAATGGCATTCTCATTGTTTTCATGATGACAAGGACACTTCTCACACTCCATATTCCTGTGAGAGCCAAGCTGACTCACTCAGTACTGTCACAAGTGCTTTCCTCCCGCCTGCTGCTTCGGCAAGTGTCCAAAACCCTTCAGCTACAGCTCGTTACTCTGTGGCTTCTTTCGTCCTCTCCTTGGCTGTTATCATCTCTGCTTATAAGGCTCCTGAATGGGCGAATAAATCCACCCACTTCAGCAGCCTTGACCTCCTGTTGATGAGCAGCAGCAGTTCATTGAAAAACAAGGACTGCCCTGGGCTGATTGGTTAGAATGAAGTGAGCTCTCCACAGGGCTCAGAGGAGCATTTTCTCAATGAAGGTGCCAGAAGACTTGGGACCTTAACGGGATCGCTGGTATCAGTATAAACAAAGTCATTAACCCAGCCTGTACCATGGCACCAAGGCTCCAGTCTGTAATCAGGTTTCAGGAAACGACAGGGGTCACTGTCAAGGAGTTCACATAACACACACACACACACCAAGTCCAACAAAGAGAGTCCTATGCAAACAGTTCATAAAGTTCTAGCCTTGGAATAAGCAACCTGGAAGTCATGTAATCTAAAGGTTGTTTAACTCAGACAGCTGCTCTTGGCTAATAATGAAAAGAGGCAAGGGACAAAAAAAAAAAAGAGCCAATGTGCTCACTATGCCTAAAAGTGTTGTGCTGTTGTCTTATTTGGAGAGACACTGGCAATGTATAGCATGCTAGTTTTCTATTTAGTACAAATTCAAGTTAAACAGAGGCCCCAGTAAGTCCAGAGAATAAATTGTTTAAGCCTTACTTATGCTTTCTCAGTTATAACATTTCCAAACTTATTTGGGGGGGTGGGCAATAAAGTTACAGGCAGGTTTTCTCTCCCCCCCTTTTTTTGTTGGCTCCCTTGCAAGACATCAAACAAGTGGATAATTCTTTATTTTTGTTAGAAATAATAGGAGCAAATTACGAGATTGTATATATTTAATTTTACACGTATTAACTGCAGCAAAAATTGTATTTGCCCAACATTGGGAAAATGAAAATTTACCAATTGAAGTATTAATTAAGAAAATTTTATAATGTGCAGAAATGGACAGATTGACTTTAAAGATAAAAGAGAAAGACGACTCAAGTGTATTTTAGAACATGGGATAATTTCTATCAATGGCTAGAAATATGAGTTAGAGAGAAAGGAATGTGATATGTAACTTTGAATATAAATTAGTAAGAAGACTATTGATTAACATATTGTTTATGATAATTATTATCTATTATTTCTTGTTAAACACATGAACCCAATATTTAGCTATGTGCTAAATATTGAGAATGTTATTTGGAAAAACTATAACCCCAACCCCAACCCAAATCCTAATCCCACCTCATTCCTAAACCCATAAAAATTAATAAAATTTATAGAAAAAAAGTGGATAATTCTTCCATAAGACAATCTAATGCTCCACAATCTATTTTTTCTATTTGTAACATTTATACCCATTGCCATGTTGAGGAAAGCCAGCTAGGTCTTGGTGTCCAACAGAGGTCTAAAGTTGAACAGATTACAAGAATACAAGTGTGCAGAGGCAATCAACACCATCACCCCATGACAGAAAACAAGCCTTTGCAACAATCCAGATTCAAGAGAAAAGGGGGATTTGAAGCATGCACAGGCACTCTAGATCAGCTGACAAACCAATGTATTAAGAATATTTTTCCCTTGCGTAATTGGTCTGCACAGCCTGAGAAGAAAGTAACAATAGGTAGTTTCTAGCAGGGAAGAAACACTAAAGTGTGTGAAACATTTGACAGTCTAGAGCTGATGGAAATATGATTTTTTCCAGATGTTCTCGATCCCCCAGATGTGGTACAACTGCAAGGTTCAGAACTCTCAGTCAAGAGCCATGGAGGCTTGGAATTCTGGGATCTCAACTCCCAAAACTTCTAAAAGACATTACGATGGGAAACCCAAAATACATGCATCTCCTCCAGTTTATACACACGTTGCTGGAAACTATTCAGCATTCTGGAAGTAGCCTTATACTTCATTGTTGTTCATTTTCTTCAGTGGAGTCAAACAACAACTGAAAAACACATTAATTTGAAGAGAGCAGAAAGGTACAGAACAGTTTATTTAGAGCTGCTACTGATCTTTGAGAGCTTGCTCTTGGGTGCTCTGATAATCAACGCATGAAAGCATCAACTTTTTAATCGTGCATGCACAATACGAGCTATTTGTAAGCAACAAAACAGAGCAAAATGTTCTTGGCTGACATGTCCAATTCTGAAAAGAACAGATCTGACAAGGTGGCCAGCTCACTTTCACCAAGCCAGAGACCCGCTTCTTGTTCATTCCGTTCCCTTTAACAGCGGAAGAGCCTTAGTTACTGTTGGCATCTCAGGTCAACACAATGCATGAGATTGACTTAAGATGAGCATTAACTCCTTCGTTTTCTTGGTGGAATCAGTGATATAATAACATTCCAATTTTCCTTGGATTTGAAACTCCCCAACCTCCATGTTGTAACAGAAGCAATGAAGCATTTTGTAGCTTCTCAAACCTTTGAGACTATTCTCACCAAAGCTCTGAGATAAGTTACAAAATGGCTTGAGGGAAACAGTCAAGGACAATAACGTTGACAGGAATGAAAATAAGACCAGCGTATCACATTATTAAAGATCTTAGCCTTCTTGCAATCTATCCCAAATCCTGGACAAATGTACTCCAGGTTTCACTACTTATGACTGCAGTGTTACTTCTGAAGGTAATAAACAGTAACGAGTGTCAGATGCATGGATCTGCAATGAATCTGCTCCTCACTGTAACATCTAAAGAACACCCTGTATGTACCCAGCACACACATTCTTGCACTGCTGCACCTTGGAGTGATGGCTCAAAGGGAACATGGCAAAGATTGTCAGTGCTTTGTCTGATTCTGAAGCCGCTCCCTGTTCTTATATGGAGTTTTATCTTTATAGTGATTGCTTGGTTTTTGAAACAACAAAAGAGTGATGTTATTTTGAAGGTAGGACTTCCAGCCCTTTATTTAGGAGCAAGTGTATGATCAAGGATGAATATCAACTTGAATATTTTTTTTTAAAAAAATGATACCTTCCCAGATTTTCCAAAACTAAGAGAAGCCCAAGGGAAAACAATTATTGTGTAATACAGCTCCCATTTATTTCAATCCTTCGTCTCCCTAAAATATTGCTTTACAAAGATGAAGGACAGACTTCTGATAACTGATGCTGCTGCTGAAAATCCAGAAGTCTAAGCAGTATACTATATGGAGATACCAGCACAACTACTTTTTAACTCCAAAATGGAGTGATGTGAGTAACTGCATTATCCCAAAGGGAAAGAGCACACAATTTTTTTGCTGTTTAAAATTGAACATTTGCCAGGGAAGGAGAAAAAAAAATAGGGGAAATTGTATTAGTTGAATTTTGCTTTGGAAAAATCCATTTCTGGGTGCTGTTCCATGAACCTGAAAAAGGGAGAGAAATGAGTATTAGTTGACATGAATAAAGAATACTAGCATCTGTGTCCCTCACCCCCAGTTCTCTCCCCTAGCACTAAATTAGAAAGAAACACTTTCTAATTGTTGATGTTAGGAAATTTGGCTGCTGCAGGGTCTCAGCGAAGATACCTAAGAAGGATAATGCCCAAAACGTCATTAGGTAGTAAGGGAAATCCAGTTTCAGACACGTCTCTTTCTCTCTCTCTCTTTTTTTTAAAAAAATCAAACACTACCCTCTGGAACAGTGTTTCTCAACCTTGACAATTTTAAGGCATGTGGACTTCAACTCCCAGAATTCCACAGCCAGCAATGCTGGCTGTGGAATTCTGGGAGTTGAAGTCCACATGCCTTAAAATTGTCAAGGTTGAGAAACACTGCTCTGGAAGGAAAGTAATTTTCAAAAAACAGGGAGTGACCAGTCCAGGCAAAAGCAATAATAAATAATAATTTATTATTTATAATAATATAGAATAATAAAATATAGAATTGCCATTTTGTAAGTTAACAAATTTCTAAGCTATCACTGTGGCGTTACTGAGCATGACTTATGTAGAATCACATCACCTCTCTCTTTCACATTATCAGTAAAATTGTCCTGTCATGGAACCCAACAGTTGTAAATCAGCAACGATAAATCGATCAAATATTGCCCTTAGGAACGATTAGCTCCAGGTCAAATACGAATTTTCCAATGCAAGCAAATATTCTTGTTTGTGTCTCACTTGGAGAAACATTTCTTACTAGGGCTTTTTGAAAATCAGAAATAGTATTTCTGACATCCTTTTCCAATTACAATTATCTCAGCAAATGCCAGCTAGCACTATTAGATGTTTAGTACTTAAAGTATTATTTTCAGGCTCTAACTACTTTTACATTCTTAAAGTCTATGTAATTGGGGGAATTCGTACAATTACATTTATGCAAGACAAGGATAAAGCTCCCATTTTATAAAGAAATGGAGGGCTTTGACCCCTAACTGTTCCACTGAAATACATAGAAACTGAGGCACAGAGTTACTCACAAAACTGACTCTAATTTACTAAGCTCAGAGTATATGGATTTCACTGATCACCTGAAAGTGCACTATTTCCCCCCCACCCACCCAAATTGTTTTACTTACTGGTAGGTTGTTTAGTCAACCTACTGGGAGGATAGCTGTGACTACTTCATGGGGTCACTTTTTCCACACTATCTGAAAATGCTAGCCAGCAGAAGGGCAAAGGGTAAAGTTTTAGAGCTAATAGACAAATTAAGAATATCGTTGGGGCCGAATGGCACTTTTCCAAGACTTCTTAATGAGCCAATCTGTAAAATAGCTGAATTATTAACTAAGAACACCCTTAATGATATCATACGTAGTGGAAGAATTAAGACCCAAAGAAGAGAGCTTGAAAGGAGGAGGAAGGCAAATAGCTGACTGACAGGGCTAAATTGCAGGGCAACGTCCAGAACAAAAATTGTACATTTTCTGTAAAGCATTGCTTGTTTGAATATGTCACTACTGATAAGTAGAAAAGGCCTCATGTCCAAGCTGTGACATTGTGCCTATAGAGATTAGCCAGGGAAAAACAGAAATTGTCTCCATTTCTGGCTTTATTCCTTTTCTCTGCTTGTGCTATTTAGAACGACTGAGGAAAAGTTGACTTGACCTTTAGTTACCCTGTTTGCAACTTGAGTGCAGGGAGAATCACCCTATATGGCCTTAGAAGGGGAATTACTCACAGAAGCTTCTACTGAGATCTCTGACAAGCAGGGCAGTAAAACAATAAAATGCATGATTGTCTAGTGAGCGGTGTGTTATCTGACTGGGAGGCACATGGAGATTAGAGGCAGAGACACCACATCAATAGTTCAGGCTGAGATGGTACTGCCTGGCTTCGTGGTCTCTACATAGCACTTAGTTGCTGGGCTGTCCTTATAAATGCCATAGCGCCTCCCCCCCGCCTCCCATTAAGAGGCAAGTCTGCTCTTGCCTGGAAAACAAGCTGTTGCTCCCTTCTTCCTAGTATAAAACCGGCCTTACTCACTTTTTCAGGATGTCCTGCTTCTTTTGCTCATCCGATGTGGGAAGCCCCATTGATTTCTGTCGCTGATCATACATCATTTTCTCAACCATGCTGCGTGTTTCGCTATCCAGGTCTGATAACTTGAAAATTGAGAGAAATGTATTAGAGAAATTCATATTAATTTGATACATTTGCGGCTCACCTTCTAGATACCACTTAATAAAGTCACATTGATAACACTTGTATAGGTAGCAATATAAGATGGTTTTTTTTTTTCCTTTGGTTCCATAACCACCAAAATTCTCTTCTATTCTATTCCTTGGTTTTCAGTGCTGTCTATTCAGCAGCAGCAGCAGCAGCAGCAGCAGCAGCAGCAGCAGCAGCCCCACATCAAGGTCTCTGAACAGGAACTGCAGAGAACCAGCCGTTGAAACTTATCTAAACGTTTGGAGGAGAAAGTCTTTGCTTGCCCAGAGCAGCATATAAAAAATAAACTAAGGCTTGCTTAAGAAAATATACCTTATATTGTACAGTAGTTGTTGTTGTTTTTTTTAAAGAAAAAACCATTTTGACGCTCCTTTCTTCTTGGGTGTTTGGAAACTACCCCCTGGAAAGGTTTCTCTGTACTAACTGTAAAGAAATTTAAAGCTGACCTTGAAAAAGGTATGAGTGAACTGTTAGGCAGGGACCTGGAGAAGTATATTGGCTTTCAAACTGTTAATAAACCCTACAACAGTGTTTCCCAAACTTGATAATTTTAAGGCATGTGGACTTCAACTCCCAGAATTCCACAGCCAGCAACGCTGGCTGTGGAATTCTGGGAGTTGAAGTCCACATGCCTTAAAATTGTCAAGTTTGGGAAACACTGCCCTACAACAATAGAATAAGATTCCTGGAATCTCCACAGTGTATTTTTTTTTTCCTTGCCCTGACCTACTTCAAAGGGCTAACAAAAAGGATTCCTTCCTGGGACAGTCAGCCAGATGCTGCCATTTGCTGAAACAGACTCTGGTTACAATTTAATGAAGTAATAGATTCCATTATGTGCTACTAACAATTAAATCTTTCAAACAGTCTGTGAAATGCAGTGACCCTAATCTTTCTCAATCACAGGAGGGTAACTTGAGGCTGACAATGCATGGTTGCCTACTCCATGAATTTTGGGTGCAGACCCACTTTGACTGACACCAAGCTGCAGGTGAGCAGCGGGGATCTGCTACACCCTTGTTCATGTTAGTAGTAGCAGCAGCAGCAATAATAATAATAATAATAATAACAACAATAAAGTTGGAAGGAACCTTGGAGATCATCTAGTCCAACCTCCTGCTCAGGCAGGAAACCCTATACCATTTCAGACAAATGGCTGTCCAGTCTCTTCTTAAAAACTTCCAGTGTTGGAGAATTCACAGCTTCTGGAGGCAGGTTGTTCCACTGATTAATTATTCTAACTGTCAGAAAATTTCTCCCTAGTTCTAGGTTGCTTCTCTCCTTGATTAGTTTCCACCTGTTGCTTCTTGTCCTGCCTTCAGGCGCTCTGGAGAATAGCTTGACTCCCTCTTCTTTGTGGCAGCCCCTGAGATATTGGAACATGGCTATCATGTCCCCCCTCGTCCTTCTCTTCGTTAAACTAGACATACCCAATTCCAGCAACCCTTCCTTATATGCTTTAGCCTCCAGTCCCCTGATCATCTTTATTGCTCTTCTCTGGACTCTTTCTAGAGTCTCAACATCTTTTTTATATCGTGATGACCAAAACTGGATGCAGTATTCCAAGTGTGGCCTTACCAAGGCATTGTAAAGTGGTATTAATACTTCATGGGATCTTGATTCTATCCCTCTGTTAATGCTGCCTAGCACTGTGTTGGCTTTTTTGGCAGCTGCAGCACACGGCTGGCTCATGTTTAAGAGATTGTCCACTAGGACTCTGATCCCTCTCACAATTGCTACTATTGAGCAAGGTACCACCTATACTATACCTGTGCATTTGGTTTTACTTGCCTAAATGTAGAACCTTACTTTTTTCACCACTGAATTTCATTTTGTTAGATAGCGCCCAAAGTTCAAGTCTGTCAAGATCCTTCTGTATCTTAAGCCTGTCCTCTGGAGTGTTGACTATTCCTGCCAGCTTAGTGTCATCTGTAAATATGATGACTTCCCCATCTATCTCCTCATTCAAATCATTGATGAAGAAGCTAGGATGACTCCTACTTCCAACGGCAATCATGGGGGGTTGGAGAAGGTGGCAGAGTTACTCTGCCACGCAATGATGCCTGATAACCTGTATGTGAAGAGTGTGCCTGCCTGGGTCACACCCACATCCACCAAGGCCAACAATCCATTCCAGAAGTGAAATATGTACATGTGGGCCACAAATGGTCAAGCAGCACACTTGAGTTAAAACAAAACCTGACCAAATCATCACTCACTTTTGAATTTTCAGGGTTAATTTTCTTGGTGTTAATCTCTGGGTCTGTTTGGACTAACTTGTTCCACCATTCCATCTTGTTGATCTAGAGTGAAAAGAGAAATATTATTATGTAGAATATGTCAGCTTCTTTGGATGTGGCATATGCAGTAAGAACATAACTTTCTTTTTCTTGCAAAGATGGCAAGATAACATCATATTCTTCTATCTCATCACAATATTACTGCATACATTTTATTTGGAGTGTTAGATATGCTCTATTAAACAAGTATTAAATATAAAGCAATCAGCACAGATGAGAACCCTTGCAAAATCATCCATTCACTCAAATCCAGAAACATTTGCTTTTTACCTTTTCCAAGTGCACTGTGACTATTTTTCCATCCTCAATCAGCCATGAGCTCTCCTCCACCTTCACCTCATTGTACAGGTCTCCATCAATCACGGGGGGATGGCCCTTTAAGCCCACCTTCAGATGACGCCTCTGTGTATCAACCACCATATCCTTTCCCTTCAGTTTGAAGCTCACATTGAATGGGATGGCCAGCTAGAGAGAATAGTGAATTCTTCATGAAAACCTCAGGCAAGGAAGACATACAGATTACTACTAATAGAATCCTTGGAAGTCTTCTATCTACCCTCCTGCTCAGGACAGGAATCCTCAAACCAATGCAGATAAATGGCTCTATCTGAACACTTCCATTGATGAAGCACTCATGATTCACGAGACAAACTGTTCCATTGTTAATTACTAATGTTCAGGTAATTCCTCCTTATTTCAAGTTTTAATATTGCTCTGTAAAGCTGCCACCCCCTGGTTCTTGTCCTACCCTCAGATACCAGAAGATCCTTCCCTGTGACAGCCCTTTAAGTATTAGAAAACTACCACCATATCTCTCCTTAATCTTCTTTTTCTTTAGCCTAAACATACTGAGTTGAACTTTTTCATAAATGGTAAACTCCTTACCATCTTTATTGTTCTTCTCTACACTTATAACCATCTATTTCATTACAGTTCTGCTTACTGTTCTATTCCTGACATAGAATAGCATTCTGTGGCCAGTTCTAAAAAAACATCTTAAAGCTATTTATTAACTCGTGGATTCCCATAGTAAGATGTCTGGGTTTTTTTCTTTATTATCCAAAAGAGACTTATGAAACAATTAAATATTTCACTGATTCATTTTCCTCATAAGAAGCAGATACTATTACGTAAAACTTAGTATGTACTTCAAAATCTAAAACTTACATCCAGTTCAGAGAGGGTTTGCGTCCACCTGTAGTTTGGCAGGTCTGCTCCATTTCCAGAGTTTGGCTTAAGTTTTCCTTTGTCCTTCTCATCTTCCTCTTCTTCATCGGTATCCTTATATAACATAGGAGTGTACATAAAATATGTTTCAGAACTTTTTAATGAGGGCTTTTTCTGTTTACTGCATTATTTATAGAGATGGCAATTCAGCTATTATACATGTATGGGTCCAACTTTCTTAAAAGTCTTCTCTGCTTAAGCCAGGTTTTAAAAATATACTGCAAAGGTCCTTTTTCCCAAAGCCAATCTGGGGGTGCTGTGGTGTGTGTGTGTGTGGTCCTCTGGCATGTACTTGCATAAATGCTAGAATTTCATGTTGTAGTTACAGTATTGTGACTAACATGTTCCTTATTTTCAACCATCTTAAAGCAATAAACTAGCAAACAGATTAGCAATCGTCTTTTGTGCCTGCAACTAAAATCTGGAAAAATACATTACTTGCTTGCTGGATTCGGGAGATTCCACTGGCTTTTCAGCAGACTTGACAGGTATGTTCTTTGCCTCATTTTCTTTCTTCTCTTTGTTCTGTTTTGAAAGAGTAGCACCTCCATAAACCCATTTTATTTGTGATATGCACATTTAAGCAGCTTAGCAATAGCAGTAATCCCACTTCATCACTCATATCCAATACAAATGGTAGCACTGAATGGCCCATGTACAAATCAAAAAGGGGATTTCCCAAATATATTGCCCTTGTATTATGCCCCACCAACAGAGGGAACCAGATTCACACCTGGTCTATTTCCAGTTGCAATCTTTCTGCCTCCTCATCAGTCAGCTCCTTAATCCTTGGCTCACTGTCTTCCTGTTTAGTTTCTTTGGCAAGTTTAGCAGCTTGTTCCGCTTTTTCCCGCTGTTCTGCTTCTTGACGAGCTTTCTTCTCTTTCTGGGCTTTCTGAGCAAGTTTGTTGTGGTGACTGAAAGTCTCTGTGATTAACTGAGGTGGGAGAATAGAAAAATAGTATAATGGGCATGATTGTTCTCAATCACACAAGCAGTAAAAATGATCTCAAGTCAAGCTCCATAGCTGGTGACTGCATCCATTCTGTTTTCTTGGCAGAGATAAAACAAAACAAATAGGGGACCTCTTTCAAAAGGAAGAATGTTCAGGATCATTCCCCACCCATACTTTATAAATTCCTCCAATGAGGGAAATCAGGATTGAGATTTAAAAAGTGAAAACAATAGCCCACATTGTAAAACTACGCCCAATTTGTTTTTACAGGGAGGTAAGGGTGTCAGACCTATAACGTCTATTTAAGGCAATAAATACTCATTACTTAGTAAAATTTTGTTTTTCCTCCAAAAAGAACTGTAACAGGAAACTTATAGTTGTTGAAAGTTTTTCGAATAATAAAATTGATCTGCTCCTTTCTAAAGAGTTGGCAGTAGGAATGAACAGGGCCACCTTTGTCCATAGTTTAGAGAAGTCCTGAGGGTCATGGCTAGAGTGTGTTTGCTCCAAGTGGTGACACAATCATTTGACTCCACGACTGGCTTAATTTCAAGGGTTCCCACTGATGGGTGACCTTACAGCAACTGCAGCAGCCAAGGGTCATGAACAGTAGTGCTGAAATTGGTAACACACAATCTATTTTGCCCTTTGGATGGTGACATGTTGGAGATGCATGCCAACTTCTGACCTTGTCTACTGCTGCTACCGTAATTTGAAAAAAGGGACAGAAGAACGCTCTTTAAGTGGTGAATAACTGGATATCTTAGCCCTTCTATAAGAGCTTAGTAATTGCTGGCTTCCTCATGTAACAAAATCTGATTTTAGATTCTAAATTTCAGATTCATTCCTTTCACTGAATACTCATTTTACTAATTTAAGGAGCAAACAGATTTTAAACAGCAGTGTTCTAGATACTTCCTCTATTGCATGTAATTCCCTAAATTCTGCCAGTACTACGGCACTTAAAGATTTATTTAATTCCACAGGTATATGTAAAAATTTCTGTACACATATACAGCTGTAAGGATTGCTTTCCAATTTCCTATAATGTATCAGCTTTATATTGACTCTGATTGACTTTGGAAGACAAAAGGTGTGCGTCAACACTGTACATCCCTCAGGGAAGCTAACAGCCACTTTTGAAAGGCTTTGTAAGTAATTATAATATGCAGAAGAAATATATAAAATGGCATGAGCATATTTTTAAAATCTAAATAGTTTCATAAATTAAATATTCTTAAACTGAACGGGTAAAATTCTCTTCAAAAAAAATTCACAAAACATTGTTTGGAACACTTACAGAAGAGTTGTTAAAATTAAAAAAAAACAACATGATGTGTCATACTGCCCCATCACTCTATCAGTGAAATAGAGAGTGATGTGGAATAGAGTGGATCACGCAGAACATTTCACAAAATCAGGTTAGAGAAACTCTGCTCTTTGGGAACAAACCACTGTTGAAGAACTGGACTTAGTACTTTCTAGTAGAGAACAAACAAAGTAAACTGGTATTATTGATCTTCAGGTGTCTGAGTCAGACCAATACATTTTTGACATGCTAGCTTTTCAACCAGCCTTTTGTCAAAGCTTAACCAAACAAAATGAACCCAAAACATCTATTATTGTCATACTCTGAAACAAACCTGCTCAATGAAGGTCAGACATAACATAATGTGATCTCTCCAGTATCTTTCCAGAGCCAGCAACTCAATGGGGTGGAATTGCAGTATAACAAAATCAAGGAAAAAACAGGAGATTTAAAAGCAAACTGTGGGATATATTTCAATCTGCCTTAAAGAGAAAAATAACTTTATAAACCAAATCACAAACCTTCTCAGCAGCGCCTTCTTCTCCCCCCACAAAGAAATCAGTTTTGCGTCTCAGGAAACTGAAAAAGGTGTTCACAAGCTGTAAGGAACAAAGGTAGCACAATCAAGGGATAAGTAGTTCACATTTCAACCTACACAGCGAACATATTTTTAAATAAAAAACATACACCATATAGAAGTGACCCACCTACCCAAGTTGCTTCTGGAAAGCCTGTTTAATGCAGTTAAGGTGTTGGAATCAAAATGGCAGACAGTTTTAGTCCTCCTTTAGGCAGGAAAACTGACTAAGTGACTTTGGCTAGCCATTCTTTCTCAGCCTACCTCACAGGATTGTGCTGAAGAAAACAGGAGTAGGGGCATTATATATCCTGCCCTGAATTGTACAAAAGTAAAGGCAGAGTACAAATATCATAGACTAGATAATATAAGCAATGTTATTTTGGTCATACTAGTGATTCTACTGCTCCCCCAGGACACACCCTCTAATAAACTACTCTAGACTCTATTTCAGAATAAATTTCCATTCAAGGAAGTTTGAGCAACCAAAACTTTAACACCTTGCAAACATTTTCACTACAGTAGTCTCCCTTAACATAAGATTTAAGTCCTGAACAAGCTATCTCAATAATGGATCCCTACTTGAATTTTTACTGCAGCATTGTGTGCAATGCTACTTTTACTTATGCCTGTTCAATTAAAGCCAACAGTTTAAAGCAGGGATGTCAAACTCGCAATGTCATGACTTTTTTGCCATTGCCGGCAATGGGGTGGGCGCGGTTTTAATATGATGCAACCGGCCTGTGGGTCGGCAGTTTGACACCCCTGGTTTAAAGGATCAACTGGTCTGTCAGAACAAGCATGGGTGTTTCCACATGGTAGGCTGACTTCACTGTTTATCAGGTAGATGACTTCACTGTTTAAGTTTAGCTGTTCCTTTAATCCTGATGTGCTAGGGTTTTATCTCCTGGTTAATTAACCTGCTTCCATTGGTAAGGGGAATCAAGTCAATAAGAAAGGATTTTGTAAGGCCTTTCTAAACTGAATTTTCTGGCATTCTAATTTATAAATCTGTAAGGAATTCCATGTCTGCTACTGGCCAATTTTTTGTTGTTATATTAACCTGAGGCCTTTTAGAAATTATGTAGTTCAGCAGTGGGATATTCTATAGCATTCCTGTTGCATAAAGAGGTATTTCCTTTCATCATCATTATTAAGACTTTAGTGAAGGTTAAAGGCAAATCCTAGTATGGCAGAGGGAACTTCCCCATGTGCTATGCAATAAGAGAAAGTGACATTTTCTTTTAAGATTCCCTTGACAAATTTTATAGAATTCATGTATATTCCACTATTTGCAAAAGGAGCCAGAAGACTTTAGCTGGAACCTACTATGCTACTGTTGAAGTATAAAACATATTGACAAATTATGTAAATTTTTCTACTCTAAAAGTTTTATTAATAATTTTGTTAAATGTAAAGCCATCATAAAGTCTCTCTCTGTGGAAAGTATATGAACTATACACACACATGTATATTGGGATATACACAGGAACAAGTATTTGTGTGTATATATATATTGGAACAGTTTGCTTCCTTGGGTGGTACAATGGATTTTTTTCTTACACTGTGATGATCATTGTGTTATGTTCTGGTTTTACTGTAGGCAAGCTGCTCAGAGCTTTCAGGATTGAATAGCATAGAAATATTATAGATTCATGACATCAAAGTATCAACAAAAAAGAGATTAGAAAATAAGTAACAGCGGTGTTTTTTAATGGGATAAACTTCAAATGTTGAACTGCAATTCCCATTTATCCTCACCCACGTGGCCAATGCCACCTCATTGGAAGGATGACAGATACATCTAAAGGCCAGTGGAGAGTTGCATTATATTTGTTAAATTTGTATTTTGCTTTTTGTCCAGGAGGTGTACTTCTTCATCTAATACCATCCTCCCAAATTGTGAGGTAGGTTGAGAATATATGACTGGTCTCTCACTGAGCTTCCATGCCTAAGGATGGACTTGAACCTGCATCTCCCAGTCTATGTCCAACACTTTCATCAGTAAACCATGAAGGCTCCCAATGACTTCTGCAGTACACAAACACAGAATAAATTAAATGCCAATTCCAATCTGCATAAAAAAATAACCAAAAGGGTTCAATGGCTGTAATACAAATTGCAAGCAAAGTATGCAGATTCATACCAAGAAACAGGCCATTTCTTAATAGCCCGGTTTGTTTGGTTCTGACACTTTCATTAAGCCATAATCAAGCAAGCCTTGGCATAGCTTGATTCGTAAATTCCATCTCTGTATTGTACAGCAATCCATTCATTAGTTTTCAACCAAAAATTCTGAATAGCAGTATTGTACAACTATGAACCACTTATACAATATGCCCATTTGGGCTATAACTGGTCCAGAATCAAAACAGGTTCAGATTACAGAGAGCCTGGATACAAACCCTCAAAGACAGGGGTCTTCAAACGCGGCCCTTTTATGACTTATGGACTTCAACTCCCAGAGTTCCTCAGTCAGGCGTGCTGGCTGAGGAACTCTGGGAGTTGAAGTCCACAAGTCATAAAAGGGCTGAGTTTGAAGACCCCTGCTCAAAGAGATCCTTCATCAGGAATATTTTCTGGAATGGATTAGAAATTACAGTGGCAACAAACCACAGGAGAAACTGTACCAGTCTTAAGATGCCATAGAAATCACTAAATCACAAGAAAATATCTAATAGCACAACTAAAAAGTAGCATTTATTCCAACATGGTGTTGTTGTTTTTTAATTCTAATCCTTTCCAGATGGTTATTTTTTCGAAGAACTTTAGTGCCACCGTTCAACAGGTGAATCTTCGGGGCAATTCACCCCATACACTCAGATACAGCCTCACCTTCCTAGTTCCACATTTTAAAACCGTTTCCGAGATTTCCTATGGACCTTTTCTTCGTGAATGGTGGGTGCGTTTTATTGGGCAGCCTCGGCTCGTCTGAGCGTTCATTTCGCTGGGCCCCTTTGCCGAAGAGAAAGGACGGCCCTGCAATGTAGGCCGTACGGAAGGAAGGGAGGGACCGCCCGCTCCTACCCTCCATTTTACCTCACGCACGCCGCCCTGGTGCTGCTGGGCCATGGCGAGCAACATGCCGTCGAATCGCTCCTCGTTGTCGGCTGCCTCTTCCCCGCTGGCCCCCATGACGCCGGGATCGCCGACTGGCTTCTCCCCTTCTTTAAAGAGCCGTTCACTCGCCTCAGCACGCACCTGCTACGACGGCGGCCGGAAACGGAAGAGAAGCGTATTCTGCCCAACCCTTTCCGGAAAGGTTTTGACCAACCGTCGAACTCGCCGCGTTGATTGGCAGCAGGCTCTTTCAATCCGCGACGAGAGGAGGTCAAAGACTCTCCGTTAGGCCCACGTGTTTGGCGTCGGTTGCTATGGTTACTGCCTGTGCTGTGAGACGACGGGAAATTCCAGATTACACATTCGCGGCCCGCGTGGAGAGGCTCGCCCGTGGCTTCCCGGTTGTCTTGGTCGTTTGTAATAAAATGTCTGAAAAGACGGGACTCGAGTTTTGCATTTATTGCTTTTATTCCCCGCTTCTTTTCCCCCTGTTAGGTCCTCCCCCGCCCAGCATCTCTGTAAAGTGATTCGACCAGGGTGAGGAACCTTGGCTCTTTTATGACTCGTGGACTTCAACTCCCAGAATTCCTGAGCCAGCATAGCTCAGCTTGGAACCCTCTCCCTTTCCCCTCAGCATGGCTGGCTCAGGAATTCTGGGAGTTGAAGTCCTCAAGTCAAATAAAGAGCCAAGGTTCCCTACCCCTGGATTAGACGATGGGAGTCCATTGTTTGTAATGATGAGAGTTGGACACCCCCTCCCCAGCCCAACAAAGAAATAATCTAGGAACATCCCAACTAAACTGGGTCAACAGCAGCCTGAGGCTAAAACAGCAAACACTTGACACACACAATGAGGAACCAGCTAGCAGCAATCAGGACACAATAATAAAAGTAATTAACACCTTTTAGGCAAGAAAAAGGAACTAACAATAGTCACAAACCAGCAAATCAAGAAAGACAAATTTTAACTCACCAATTAGAAATGGTAAGTTTGTTACCAATCAGAAATGACAAGTTTGGAAACCACAAAAGGGTATAAAAACCCCTGTTTAAAGATCACTCTGTCTAGCTAGCCAGGGACTCGAGCTGAATTGTCACTCAATGCTGATCCTCGAAATAAAACCTCTTTCTGGTAGCTGGCTTCACGATCTATTTCTTCTGCACTGCGCCGTCAAGGAGAATCCCGGCTGGAAGAACCGAACGGGGGAGTTCCTCCCAACAGTAACATCTCATGTTCTCACCTAGCATATTAACAATATTAAAGAAATATTCAATGTTTTTTATTGTAGAGTGCCCTTTAATGTAATTTCATTGTTTTTAATTGTATGTTCATTCACCTACAGAAATAAACTGCCCAAGGCAAACGATAATCTTGCAGAGCAGAGGTGTAATGTGTCCTGTTCTAGAAGCACATGGGATTGCCCACAATATTGTATTGTGCACCAGCTGAAGTTTCTGCTTACTCTTCAAGGACAGCCCCATGGAGAGTGCGTTACAGTAACCCAATCAGGATGAGTTGTTATGAACAGAGCCTCCAGATTTAGGAATGGGCACAAGTGGCACTCAACACAAGGCTGTGCAAAGTCCCTCCTAGCTATGATTGCCATCTGCTCTTCAAGCAGGAGTTGAGTCCAGAAGGATCTTCATGTTGCACACTGTGTCTATTTGAGGTAGTGCAACTCCATCCAGCACCAAAGATGGCACCATCCTAAAACTGGCAGGCCCCAAAACCCAAAATTGCCCAGCCTTGCTAGCTGAGCTGAAGCCTGTTGCTCCCCATCCAGACCCTCACAGCTGCCAGGCATCAGATAAATGGATATACATACTTCTTAAAAATTATGTGATGCTTTACAGAAATATAGACATAATATTTTTCTTCCCATACAATTTATTTTAAAAAACTCATATAGTCACCCATCTCAAATAGTGATCTCACGTAAACAATAAAAACAATAGACTAAAAACAAATCAACTCTTCCATTCAGGATTTAAACCTACCAAATTATTAAGCTCCTGACTCAATCCCCACCCTAGCTCACTGCTTGGCGGATGAGCAGGTTTCTAGCCATGGAAGGCTAAAATGTTAGGGGCTCCTGAAATATCAGGTGAGAGACTATTGGAACATGCTGGGGAGAAGGTGTGCTTCCAAGGTCCGATTAGTTGACAACATTTAAGGGAAGAGACTTGGAGTTCAGCCACCATATATGATCAAGTAGTATCAACAGATATTTTCAGGCAAAAGAAATTTCCACAAACAACCTATAACCTATGTCATGTAGGGCTTTAAAGGTGATAATCAGCACCTTGAATTATACCTGGAAAGCAACTAGAAAATAATGCAGCTCATGCAAACAATGGTGTTACTTGGGCAAAACTTAGGGTGCCCAAAAATGCATGTGCTACTGCATTCTGGACCAGTTGCAGCTTCTGGATGGTCTTCAAGAGCAGCCTTGTGAAGAGCATTTTGTTTGGGTTCCTTCAAGTCATTGTTGACTCCTGGTGATTGCCTGGACTAGTCACTGCAATTTTCTTGGAAAGATTTCAGAAGTGATTTTTCCACTGCCTGCTTCTAGAGAAAGGGTGAGTGGCCCAAGGTCACCCAGCTGGTTTTGCACCTCAGGTAGGACTAGAACTCACACTAATCTAATTAGAAAGTGACTGAGACATGATTGACCATGAGCAAGCCCCCCCCATCAGGAATGGGTGTAATTGGCATAAAGATGAATTTATGCCACCATTCCAAGAGGACTGCCAAATTATGCACCAGGTCTGTCTTGGTACCTCATATAAAGTCAGAGATAATAATTGATGAATTGTCTTGTAGATCCCAAGGCTGCAGAACCTATACTTTGGAGACCACTGATCTACCATATTGCTGATGGAAAGAGGTAGCAAACACAAAGTTTCCAATAAGGGGCATTAGGATCCATAAATCACAATCTTTGCCATAAACAAATATAGTGCAAACTCATCAAAATTCCTTTTCAGTTCAGTGATGTTTATTGCCAGAGTAATTAGGCAAAGGACTACTTCTTATACCTTCACTTTTTCCTTAGCTCATATTGACAGAAACCTGAAGTGCCTCTTTGCAGCTTGCAGCAATTTTGTTCTGTCCATTCTGTAATGAGTATAATTTCCTAAAGATCCTTTGTTCCCAAGAATATAAAAATAAATATAAAAGTAGGAGCTTTCCAATGATTTTTTTATGGAGTAGTTATCACTAGAGGAAGAATTGTACAAGGCAAAGTCATTAGGGAGAAACATCTGGTCTTGTGACTTCATGAGGTTAAAGTCCATGGTTTAAAACAAAATGCAGCAGTGATTTGTAAATAAGTTATTCCCCTTGGTAAATCAGAATATTATAGTAAGGAATGAAGAAGCAAAAAGTTGTTTGCACACTTTAACTATACCCAACTTTTAATATCTATAAACCAACCTTTAAAAATACTGAAAAAAGTAGTAATTCCTATGTCTTCAATTGTAATGTAATGTAGTTAGTTATTCATGGCAATACTTTATTTTTAATAATGATAATTATTATTTATTAATAGACTCCCTGACTCCCAGTAAATCTGGGAAGTTTTTAAACATATTTAAGAATATAAACAAAGAAAGAGGGAAGAATATTTACAAACTATAAAATTTAGATAATACAGTAATTTACTACATGTAAGAAAAATAAAAACATTACTTATTTTAACAGAAAAACATTCTGCTAATAACATTAAATTGGAAGGAAACATAATCATAAATCATTCTGGTACTTTTAAAACTGTTAATAGTTTTTGATTGACAAAAACAGCCAAAATAATTATTATCAGTCAAAATAATTATAAGAATTTCTAACCTTTCTAAAGCAGATCATCCATAACTGTATGATCAATTAGACAAAATCTATTGTTTTAAGACTTTTCAAGAGAAAGCCAGATTTCAGATGTGCAGATGTCTACATGCAATATTACAGTCCACAAAGTTTTAAATTAATTTAAATTTAATTAATTGGACCTGCCACAAACCCCAATATTACACAAAAGAAATACCTCTATCCTGCCACCTTGTGGCCACAGGCCACCCTTGCTTTTTTGTCTCAATCATAAACCACAGTTAAGAATCAACAACACTTTGCATCAGAAGAATATGTTAAGCTACCTTATCTTTTAACATGATTGCCTGGTTCACATAATACACAAAACATGAAGTGCTTTGTAGCCACAATGGTGTGTAAAGCATGAATGTGAGATCAAACTAATACTTTCTGGAACATCTTTCACCTGTAATTTTAATAATCAATTAAATCCAACGATGACCATTGTCTCTTTCAGATAATTAGGAAACATTAACAGACCAAAGCAGGGGGTCTTCAAACTTGGCCCTTTTATGACTTGTGGACTTCAACTCCCAGAATTCCTTAGCCAGCATGCCTAGCTGAAGAATTCTGGGAATTGAAGTCCACAAGTCATAAAAGGGCTGAGTTTGAAGACCCCTGGACCAAAGGAATATTTCCTCAAAGGATATGTGCTGAATCCATCTCTCCATTTAATTTGGAGGAATTTAAACATTTTTTAAAAAGAGGAATTTCCTAGCAGGGGAACAATAATTTGAATGCAATTTTAGAAGAAACTCTAACACACTCTTCAATAAATAGACCTTCAATGCAAGCTATGCTACCTGGGAACTTTGGAAGTTAAGATCTCAACAGATCTAGAGGAGGTTGGATTAAACATCCTAGAGCCCTTCATAAATACTTTGACTACTAGTAGAAAGCTCTTCTGAACAAAACTATAGGATTATATACAAACAGGCATTGATCTTTACAGCATGAAGACTAAACAAGGTTTTAGAGTGACCCAGGGTAATATATTTACTTCTCTACTTTTTGTTATGTTGTCCTGCTAATTTGTTTCTCCAGTTGGGGAAGGGGGGGGGGTGTCAAACTAGCTCTTGTGCCTCAGATCTACAGTGTCATTCATGATCCTGCATGTGCTATTGGTCCCTCCTGGAACGTAAAACCTTTCTCCTAGTCTAGGGCAGAGGTAGAATGGATTTCACAAAATAAAACATTTTGTTCCCAGAGCATCAAGAAAGCAGAACAGTTCTAACCTCTGGTGAACTTTATGTAGAGTCCGTGGAATCAAAGTCCAGCTTGTGTATTTCTGTTATTGGCCAAAAAAATGTCCTATGGGACAGTGTCCTCTTAATGTGATTAAGACACAGAAAAAGCAGCCTATCATTTACCCTGCCCCCAATATGGACATTCTCCAAAGGAGATGTTTAAGTCAAAATCACCTTCCTTCCATTCTTCAGAGCCTAAAGTTGAAAAATCACTGCTGTCACTCCACCCATTTTGGCAGCTGACAGCAACGACAAATATACTATGCTGGACTTAAGGTTGAAGTCTATTTTCATAGGATGTGTTTGTTTTTATGGTAGTGGGAAAGAGAGAGAAGGTTGTTTGCATGGAGTCCAGCCAAGGCCTTGGTGCCTGAACATTTTGCTCTCTGGTGCATCATTACCCTGCAACCTTGAAAAGGAAAAAAGTGGGACTACTACTAAGACTGAGCAATTTGTTATAATTCCTCCAGTTTTGTTTCCATGTCGCCTAGGAAATTAATAAGAGAATAGCACAATCATACTGGCCTCCACCCTATACTATCAAAGTGATAATTAAATATTTGAAATGAACAGAGGGATCTAGACCAATGCTTTTCTCATTAGACAAGAAGGTGACAGTCGTAGAAAGAAGTATGATAATACTTCTTTTTGCATAGACATTAGTAACAGAGATAATGATAGTGATGGTCATTTTGTGTGCGTGTTTGTGTGAGTGTGATTAACAGCAGAGAGGGAGAAAACTGGTTCTTCAAGTCCAGAACACTGTAACCTTTCAATTCCCCTAAAGCGTGTTCCTGAAGAAGATACACATTTTTGCCTGCACTATGGACAATTCCTCTTTTTTTTTTTTTTGGCTAAAACTTAAATTGCCCTCCAAAATACTTCCATTTTTCAGAACAAACTTTCAAAGAAAAGGCATGTTAACTTAATGAGAAGTAGCTCCTATTGATTGCTAGTCACCACTTTAGGCTGCTGTTGTTAAAAACTAGGTTTATATTTAATATTTTATTCATCCTTGATTTGATAGTGGAGCTGACTTTCGCTGGAGCATTGCTGCATCCAGGATCATTCCCCAGTTCAGCCCTGCAAATAACTGGCACTGGTCACTTCCAAATCTTCAAACCAAAATAGCAATCTATCCACCACTCTAGAAGTAGCAGACAATCTCATGTGATTATCTGTGTTTGATACTAGAGCAAATTATTTTTGGCTCAGTTACACCACAGAACCAGTTTGGTGTAGTAACTTCAGACTAGAAACCAGGAGATTATGAATTTTAGTCCCACTTTAGGTATGAAGCAGCAGTGTATCTTAAATACTCCTCCCCCAGTGGTGGGATTCAGCCAGTTTGCACCACTTTGACGGAACCCGTAGCTAATTTTTTGTTGCCCAGGCCCAGAATGGACTTCCGGAAGCGGCATCCACACAGAGAACCGATTGTTCACATATTTGAATCCCACCCAAAAGTAATGTTTCTGTTTGCAACAATGAATTTTTGTAGGGCATCTGAGTGAGCTACTTTCCCACTGGTGAAACCTTTACTTGTCTGCTTCCTATGTTTGTGTTAGTTCTCACCCTTTCCTGAAAGAGTCAGGCAAAATAGGTCTTCCAAGTGCAAAGAAGTATAGCAGCTTTGTTATTTTGCATCTTCCCCTCATAGGAACCATTCAGCTGTTTAAATCACTAAGCAATACCACATGTTGGACTATTTAGAATTTGTTTCATCCTGTAAGTCTCGTTTTATAGGCTGCATTTTTGGTAGCAAAAGAGCCTGGCAACATTTCTTAAATAAATTTCAAGAACACATTAATGATACCTCACTTCTTTATATCAATATTATTGATCCCAAATGACATTTTTATAGACATGAGTCAAATTTTATTTCCTAATGGAGCCAGAAAGCTGTAATTGCTTCATCACTTCTGTTCACATCTGAAGCAGAGAGCAACATTGCCTAGGAAATTATCAAAAAGCACCAATGGTCGGTCACCTTAAAGCAAATTTACAGCGGGATCAACCTTGGAAAATGGCAAGAGAAATCAAGTATTCCTTGGAAGGCACAGTTGATGATGGCTTGCATCAGACTCCAATATCCATCACTTCTGAACTGGTCTCTGGAGAGGCTGACTTAAAGGCCTCACTGCTTCTGGGGATTCGCAAGGTCCACGTTTCTCAGCAATACACTTTAAGCAGAGGGGCTCCAGATGAGTCTGTCTCTGTATCTTGAAAAGAAGAACCTCTACTTAACGGGGATCCTGCAGGGGAATGGGAGGAAACAGGAAGAGTTATGCTATAAGAAATAAAAGCTAAGATAAAGCATACAGAAAGGATAAGATGGAACAATATTTTGTAACCACGGCTGCGTATAATTTCCCCCCCAATAAAAATCTCTGTTTTGTGAATAATTTGAAAACTGTATTGATTTGCATAAAACTCTTCTAAAATCTATAATGTGAAGATGATTGTTGTAGAATGGACATCTGACACTGCTATAATTTTTAGCTGCTCTCCTCCTCCCTCCAAAATAGGACAGGAAGCACTGGAAGTGGATAAATATGAACTGTTGATTTTGTTATTGTTTATAAGAAAGAGGGAACTAAAATATGGAATTTGCCAGGGTACAGATGGTAACTATCAATTTTATAAGTGCTAAAAAAGAGGTCAGAAATAGCTTCCTTACATATCTTCTTTTTTTCTTTGCTTTTTGCTGACCTTCACTTTTCCCCATTCTTTTAATTTTTTTTTTTTTGTACGTGTTTGTAACTTTTTGCTCTTATGTAAAATTCTTTTTAAATAATACACACACGCATGCATACACACACAATAGGACGGGAAGCCACTCATGCAAGTGAAAAAAAATTTCAAACAGTACAAATTCCAACAAATGTATACAGTCAAAATAATGGACAAGTAAAATACACAATGCCTTCCTTGGTTTCTGTTCTTTTGGCAATGAAATCCATGTGCTAGATTCAAGAACTGTGATGCTTAGAAAAAGGCTCTGCTTGTTTTTATTTAAAAGAAAAGTTGTTCTCAGCATTTTTAAAATCCCATTTCTGCTTGTCAAGAGAAAGAACACTAAAGCCTTAGAAACTCAAAGGCCTTGAACCACATTCCATTCACCTTCCATTGAACATTTGTAAGAGGCTCTCTGTAGCCACGAGAGCAGGATGCATGCTTTAAAACAAAAAAGATGAAAAGCTCACATTCTCAGCCAAATTTAACAGCACTGCAGTTATGGATACCCAGCCCTGTTTAAACCTGCCCCAAGAGCCCATGCTAAACCAAAGAAATTCACCCCCATTCTCATGTCCAGCTGAGAAGGTGTAGCTCAACCAAGCCATTATAGAAATATGTAGATGTCAATTCCTGGGAAGTACATGAAGACATCCCTGTGATTCCCTTGGGAACAGTAGAAAAACAGTTTGTCCCCTTTATCATGATTAAGTGTCCTTCAAACCTAGGTAAGGAGCACTGTTGATGCAGCATAAGGTGCTTCAACGCTCCAAAGAGGCAGCAGGTAAAAACAGCCACCTGGGACGGAGGCTTCTTTTCAAAAGCAGGACTGTGGGCAAAATATTTACTGCTAGATAAAGCACAGTTAAAATGACTACAATAATGACTAGAATCTTTCCTCTTCATATATTTTGCCCTTTATCAAGGGAAACAAGTAAAAAAAATAGATTCATTTTTAAATTCTTTTTTCCTTATTTTTATCTCTTTTTTTTTAAAAAAAATCAAAATCCTCTGCTTATCTTCTGACTGTGCTAGATTACAGTTGAATAACAGGATCATTTTTCTGTTTACTGTGTGTGTGTGTGTGTTAAAAGTAGGCTTTTGATGAGAACTGTGACCTGACTTCAATATGAATGTGCAAAGTGAATTTGGAAGTTTAGAATTAGCTAATTTGCTGATCATACACCTATGTGTTTTATACAGGTTTGAACCCTGTTCTTTATGGTCACTCTGCTTTATTTCTCACCTAACTTCATTGAGTTGGCTTCAGGACTGCAGTAAAAGTAAAGAAGACCCTGCACTGCCGAGGCATTCTCTCAGTTATTTTAAAGGGGAAAATATGTTTATGAAAAGGTATACAGTAACATGGAAACCCTTCTGAGTCCCAGGCAAGCAATGAGCCCTCTTAGAAATAAGCAGCCATGAGGGCTAGATTCTTCTTTTTAGTAAAATCTGAAGGATGATTTACTTCCCACTTGATACGATAGAGTCTCCATTAAAGGCCAGAGCTTACATTCCATAATTATACTCATTTATTCTTACGACCACCCTCCCCCTTCCCTTGAATTTTTTGGTTATAAGGCACTGGATAACGGAGTTCAGAAATTGGAGAATTTCAGATGGCATTAAAATGCCAAGACAAGTTCCTAGCCCTTAAGGCTCTGTTATGCCTTAAGAAACCTCAGAAGCCAGCAGAACCTGAAGCACCCAAGGACAAAATGTTCATACCTTGAATACCATTTGCCTCTCTCCATGGCTATCAGGAAAAGAATAATATTATGTTTTATGTATATATATATATATATATATATATATATATATATATATATATATATATATATTACAAACTATGTTATATTTATTTATTTGGGTATATGGGCACTTGCTCATGGTTATTAAGACCCAGTATTAGAATAGTTCAAATGGATTTAATTCATTCTTGAGTGGTTTACTTTGCTTTAAGTGAACAGGCAAATCCTAGTCAACCAAGATTTCAAAACTAGTATTTTTGCAACTACAAAATTTACGATCATTTGTCTAATAACTGTTCAAATCTATGACGATGCTGAAAAAAGTGATTTACAGCCAGTCCTCACGCTTATGCCATTGCATTGTCACCTATGGTCACATAATGAAAACTCAGGCATTTGGCAACTGCCATGTTTAAGATGGTTCCAGCATCCTGGGATCACATGATTTCTGTTTATGAGCTTCCCAGGGGGATTCTGGCAAGCAAAGTCAGTGAGGGAAACTGGATTTCTTTAATGATCCCATGATTTGCTTAACAACCACAGCAAAAAGGGATCTCAGAGTCTTGAAGTGGTTCCATTGCTAATCAAATGTGGTTTTTTTGTATGTATGTTTAATATGAGTATGTTTGAAATGTTTGTTTTTATACTTGGTTTATTGTGCACTGCCTAGAGCAGGGGTAGGCAACCTTGGCTCTTTTATGACTCGTGGACTTCAACTCCCAGAATTCCTGAGCCAGCCATGCTGAGGAGGAAGAAAAGTGCAGGGACTTGTCCAGGCAGTCACCAGGAGTCAACAATAACTTGAAGGCCCAATCAATCGATCCAGTATAAATCAGTGCAGTAACATGGTAGAAACCCATTAGTTCTTCCTTACAGTTGGTTAAATTGCAGATGTCTGTAAGTTCTCCCATAGCCCCATTTCTTTTGGAAAAGCAACAATGGCCAAACAGTCATAAGCTCCCAAATCCCAAACAAAGCTCTCCAATATCCTAAAATATGTCAAGAAAAATCACCTGCTATGTTGTAGGCACCTTGCCTCATGTTTCTGGCTTGCGTATCTGCTGTCGTTTCTATCGATATCTGAACAGGTAAATCTGAAAGGCAGTGAGCAGAAAGGTTGACATTTAAATAGATGCCCAAGGCAGATGGGTCGTGTTACATATCTTTGGATTCACCTAAGAGTATCCAATGTGGGCAAAAATGTTGGATCAGTTATGCATGTCAGACAGGGCAGCAATAGACAGTTCTTTGCTCCCTGAACTGCTCAAGATCAGGATCCAGGCAAAAAACTGTTGATCTCTGAAGCAGCCAAATGAGAGGGCAGTATCCTGTTGTGCCACAGGTTGGAGTTTATATCGAACAGAGGAAGCTTAATTTCACAGAGAAATAGACCACCCCGTTTTAAAAGAGGAATCCCAGACCGAGAGAAAGGCTGGGCACCAGATGGGACTGTAAAAGATGTATACAGTATTCATTTAGTGACTGCCTCATTTAGGGGTTATTCACACAGCATTGATTAAAAAGCAACTTTGCAACCAATCCTCACACATTTACAATTTCGTAAAGCAAAGGGAAGCTGAAGTAAGATCACAAGCACAGTTGTGGCTTCACTCAGTGACTGCTTTGATTAGTGACTGAGTTGCCAGTCCCTGACTGTAGTTGCTAAACACACAGACGACTGGTAACAATGACATTAAAAGAGCTGCTGGTGCAATTTTAGTTCCCAATTGAAGCCCAAGTATTTTTGCAAAAGGATATTTCTTCTCAGAGCAAAAAATACATCCGCAGTTTCAAATGCCATTCCTTCTTCTCAATTATTATGTTTCATAGGACCATAAAGGGACTTTTTCTCAGACACCCCCCCCCCCAAAGATCACTGTTTTGCCTTGGAGCTTAGTCTATGACTCTCTTGTTGTTCCGGGAGGATGACGGGCTGCTCTGGAAAGAAACATTGCAGTCTGTTGGACCTCCTCTGAGAACATTCTAGAATGTCGTGAAGGAGGATCCTGAGGGAGGTGGGTGACCTACAGTGTCCCAATTCTCTGTTGCCAAACTGCCAAACACTCCACTCCCACTGTAGTATGGAGTCTAGGTTTCCACGGCTATTTCTGTTTAGGACAGTGGTTCTCAACCTGTGGGTCGGGACCCCATTTGGGGTCGAACGACCATTTCACGGGGGTCGCCAAACAAGGCTGTCCGCCATTTTTCCCCCCTTTTCTTTGGCCACGCCCCTGGCACCCGGTGATGTATAAGTGGTTGGGGGTCACCACAACATGGGGAACTGTATTATGGGGTCGCGGCATTAGAAAGGTTGAGAACCACTGGTTTAGGGTACCAGGGAGAACAGAACCTTGTTTTTCTTTGTTTTGTGATGGGAATGAGGGCCTCGTGAAAGATCTTCCTCGAGATCCTTATTCCCATTTGTGCACCCCCCTGCCATCATTTGTCCTACACTGGGACCTTAACATCACCTCCTCTTAGTACTGCCATCATCACTGCTTCTCTGAACAACCAATTTTGACCCATGACGGCAGTGCCTGGTCCCAGGCAACCCGTGCCAGCTTCTACCTGGGCACCGTAGCCTGTGGGCTGTGCCCCAGGGGTGAAAAAGAGCAGAACAATACTTGCAATTGCACCAAGGCAGCCAGGGAAAGGGAGAAGCAGCGTGCCCAGACAGCTGCCGCTGTTCAGAAGTGTTGTTGCTCTCTTAGGTTGTATTTTGCATTCCAGGGGAGCAAGTGATAATTCCCTTGAATATATGCAAAATGCTTGTTGCAGAAACGAACAGTCTTTTACTGAGATGACTGCCCACTAGAATTTGAGGCAGTATGCTTTAATTACCTATGTCAGTGTTTCCCAAACTTGACAATTTTAAGGCACGTGGACTTCAACTCCCAGAATTCCACAGCCAGCATTGCTGGCTGTGGAATTCTGGGAGTTGAAGTCCACATGCCTTAAAATTGTCAAGTTTGGGAAACACTGACCTATGTCTATTTGTACGCTAGGCAGATCTAAGACACATTCTGTGAACGGTTATGCATGCAGGGTAACAAATGGCCCCGCATGGGCATTTCTGATTTGATCAGTGAGAAAACAGCAACCTATTCCCAGCTACTCTGGGTGTGACAATGTGGAGGGCCACATGATTAGCCTCATCCCTAAAGTCATGTGCTCCCTTTAGCCTCCCTCAAAATGGTACCCTCCAAATAAATAAATCTCCAAAATGGTAACCTATAATTTCCCCATCAGTTAGGCCAGTGGTTCTCAACCTTTTTAATGCCGCGACCCCAACCGGTCGTAAGTTGAGGACTACCCAACCGGTTGTAAGTCAAGGACTATCCAACCGGTTGTAAGTTGAGGACTTTCCCTGCCCGGGAGCGCTGCGCATGCGTGGTGCCGCCCCCTGTGCCGGCCGAGGCGTAGCTGGCAAGCGGCAGAGATGGCGCAGGCCGACCACCGGCTGGGCCACCAGCTGGCCCAGCCCAAGGGAGGTAAGGCACCCGCCGGGCTCCACGCGCACCAGCAACCCTCCCTGCGCCCGCCGGCCTCCCACCTCCCACCCCTGGCCCTCTTTTCCTTACATTTTTAGTAGTTGCTCAGCAGGGAGGGGTGGAAATTTCCAGACAGCTCGCCTTCGCTGCAGACAACTTGCAGCACCGTTTGCAGAATGGGACTTTTGGCGGGCTCAGCAGGGCAGAGACAGCTGGACAATTCCTATTGGCTTTGAAAGCCAATAGAATTAGACTCTATTCAAGAGAGTCTATTCTATTGGCTTTCAAAAGCCAGTAGAATAAAAGGGAGTAGCACAGCTAAGGAAAAGGGGGAAAAAATGGCGGACTGTGTTGTTTGGCGACCCCCGTGAAATGGTCGTTCGACCCCAAATGGGGTCCCAACCCACAGGTTGAGAACCACTGAGTTAGGCTGATGGGGTCCAGTGGAAGTTGTAGCTTAACACACCTAAAGGATGTCACTTCTAGTGGAAGGCTACACAGAGACATTTTTCTATTCCTATGCCTTACAGAGATTTAATTGAAGCAGAAGAGAAAGACATAGATGTGTTTCACGGATAGTCCTCGACTTATGATCACAATTGAGTCCAAAATTTCTGTTGCTCAGTGAGACAGCTATTAAGTGAGTTTTGCCCCATTTTACCACCTTTGTTGTCACAGTTGTTAAGTGAATCCTGCAGGTGTTCAGTTAGTAACACAGTTGTTAAGTGAAACTTGCTTCCCCATTGACTTTGATTGTCAGAAGGTCATAAATAATAACCACACAATCCTGGGGCACTGCAAGCGTCATAAATATGAGTCAGTTGCCAAGTATCTGAATTTTGATCATGTGGCCATGGACATGCTGCAATGGTCATAAGTGTGAAAAAGTCACAAGTCACTTTTTTCAGGGCCATTGTAACTTTGAACGGTCACTAAACCAACTGTTGTAAGTCGAGGACTACCTGTACTCCTACTGCCCTATAGGGGGCATTCCAAATTGTGATGTCTTTGGTTTGGTACCATGTTCTACCCCAAAACGGAAGTTCATGCATACCTTCTTCACTAGTGAGGACAGATGCCAGCATAGTCTCATTGCCACTATGAAGGGGGTTGCCTCGGCTTGTGATCTCCCCTGAACTTGGGAGATTTGGGGCAAGAACACGGGGTCGGACCCTGCTTTTGCGTGTGCTGATGCGTATGATGCCCCGGACCAGCCTACATTCGGCATCCTGCTCATCCAAATTGTAGTCCTGAGTAATGCTGTTGATGAGGTCTGAGATCTTGTTGGTCTTCTCCAGGAAGACCGTGTCGGAGGTGCACTTGGCCAACTCATCAATCTGATGGACACTGAAAAGCTCCGTGAGTTTCCTGAAGATGAGGCCATCAATCTCCCTACTGGACATGGAGCTGTTCAGCTCACCAAACTCAAGATCAGACTCGTGGAAGGAATAATGTTCCTCAGAGCTTCGGTGGCTTGTAGGGGCAGGCTGCTTCTCAATGCTGGGTTGAGGGAACCTATCCGTCAAAGGTTCCTTGTAACATGAATCAGAGTCTGTGGCAGAGCTAGGGTTCTGGTTTGGGTAAAGCGGGACCGGGACCCCTTTCAATTTCACATCAGGGTAGCTAAAACTGCTTCCCATTGTACTCTTCCCAGTTCGGCTACCGTTCTTTTCATTGGGGGAGCTGTTGGCTGGACTGTTAGTTGAACGTCCATTGCACTCCTGGTTCTTCCCATCCTCTGTCAGGGTACTGTTGTATGAGATGCTGGCTCGACAGTCCTTGAAGCAGCTCCCACAGGTTATGAGGCAGCAGAAGATGGCTTTGGAGGTGTTCCAGACCTGAGAAAGACTGGGACAGCATGGGGGTGGGGAACTTTCTGCAGGTCTAGGGATGAAGGTATTTGTCTCTCCTTCCCCTCCGTGGGAATCTTTGGAATCAGCTTTGTAGGCTCTTCTATCGCGCCTGGGCCGGCGAATGTATTTAAGCTCTGAGGTTGAGCCGTTAAAGACTTCCAGGCCAATATCACTTGTCTTAGGAGAACTGACCCTCTGTGGGACTGTGACATCCTGAGGAGGCCGATGGAGATGGCTTATGTTTTGGCAATGCCCTTGTCTCTTTCCCAGCATGACTCACCACCCCTAAAAGACCTGATAGAAAGAGAAAAACACAGGAGAGAATTATCCCACATATGGTCAGATCAGAGCTACCCAAATTGGATATAATAAAGACCTTTATCTCTCCTTTCTAAGAGATAAGCCTTCCCTCTGTCATGCAAGCCTTTCTACAGGTAGTCCTCCGTTTACAATCATGATTGGGACCAGAATTTCAGCTGCTGAGCAAAGGGGCTGTTACGTGAATGGCACTCAATTTTATAAACTTTCTGGCCACAGTTGTGAAGCAAATCACTGCAGACATTTCATTACCCTAACTAGATAACACTGCCAGCACTGATGATGTTACCTAGTCAGGATAATGAAATGGCTGCAAGAAAACAACCAAGCTCAGAGAGCACCAAGGACCCCTCATTTCAACCTTAAGCTACAAATATTCTCCTTCATTGAAATCACATTAAGGGAATCACACAGACGTTAAATGAATCCCACTTCCCCTATGAACTTTGCTTGTCAAAAGCCAGCTGGATGGCCCTGGGACACTGCAACCATCACCAATGCATGCCAGTTGCCAAGTGCCCAAATTCTGATCATGTGGGGATGCTATAATAGTCATAAGTATGAGAATGGTTGTAAGTCACTTTTTTCAATGCCACTGTAATTTTGCCATATTCTGAATCCTGGCATCTTGTTTCTTCATGGTATGATTTATGCACAGCTAGAGATGCCATATTAATCTCTAGGTTGGCAGACATGCTCTGTGCCAAAGAGTGTACTTCAGAAATCTGGCTTCAGTGGGAATGTGTGCATCTGAGTGTGTATGTGGGTTAATTTGGTTTTACTTTCTGCCTCTTGCTCTGGTTCCTTCTATATTCCCTTCTTACAGGCAGATTTCATCACTTCAAAACCAGACTAAATGTACCCACTTTTCTGGAACCCAATTCTGCACTTGCAAAAGCATCAGGCAGAAGTGTCACATGATATTTAACATTTAAATCAGGGGTTTAAAAGTTCAATGTCTTTCCAAAGTGCACATAGGATTGTTAGGAACTGGGACTGATATATATTTTTTGAAGTGCAGAACACATGGATGCAGTATCTGAATATATTCCAAGGCTTTACCTCAAATCTATAGTAATGGTGTGAGAAAAGGACCTTGGGAGACAGGAGGGAGAGTCACAGACCAGACTTCTACCGTGCAAAAGGTATCTTAGCCCAGCGGTACCCAACTTTTCTGGCTTGGTAGCCCAGCACACAGCCCCACTTGCACAAGTGCAAGCTCCTGCCACTCACGCATGCAGCTCCACTCGTGCGAGCGGTGGGCGCTTGTAAAGCTCCACTCACACGAATGGAGTTGCGTGTGCAAGCACCTGCTGCTTGGGCGAGTGGAGCTGTGCATATACGCACACTCGCACGCCACTCGTGTGGCCCTGTTCCAAACTGGCCATGGCCCAGTAGTGGGCCACAGCCCAGGGGTTGGGGACCCCGTCTTAGCCCACAGAAAGAGGAAGGATGTGGGAAGCATCTCAGAAGGGACCTTCTCTTGTTTCCCAGAGAGTGAGTTTTGCAAGGTTCTGGTAATGCAACTTTACAAAAAAGATACGGTTAGTCCTCCTGGTTGTCGTTCTTCTCTTGACTATCTCACAAGGCGTTTTACAAGACTCGAAGTATTTCTTCCTTTTTCCTCCTCCCACTTTCCTCTCCTTCGTGGACATGCCAGATGTCCAGTCTCCCTCCCAAGGTCATTCTCACATTCCACTACACCTACTGTACACCTCTTTCCGCTTTCTGAGTTATTTTACCTTTTGCTTTGCCTTCTTATGGTATCACTGAGGACCTAAGGAGCTGCTTCCTCCATGACAGAAGACCCTGTGTTTGCAGAGGAAAACAAAAGAAGAATTAACAGAATAACAGAATTAAATCATATAATGATTTGGCAGATAGGCTCTGACCCGGCACAGTTTCTATCTGGAGACAAACCAAAAGTTAGTTAAGAGAGATTCAAGAAGAAAATTGCTCCAAGCAAGGCATCTGTTGAGTCCGTCACGAAATGGTAAGACACGAGAAGCAGTTGTAGTTCTCAGGAAACCTTTATTCTTCAGTTCAGCTTACATTGGAATATGGCGGCAACGCCCAAAACTCTCGGCCTCCTTTTATAGGCCTTCCCCAGGTCAATCTGCCACTTTTGGCGCGTCAGCACCTGCGCATGCGCACACGTACTGGCGACAGCCTGTCTGGTCCCGGGCAGCTTGCACCTGCCCGCGACCACCTGCAATGCCCCGAGCCTGCTTGCAAGGCTCAGGACATAACACCCCTTTCCCCCGAGCTAAAACTACGACCAATGCCATAATAATACACAACCCACTTTTAGTACAATGTTCTGCTCCCCCAATGTTCGGAGTTCCCCCCGTTTCCATTGCCTTAGTGTTTCTACCCTTCTACTGGCTCTGTTTAGCCAATAGTGTTATGTAATCCTCTAAGTACTTAGGAGATTTCCTTGCTCTCTGTGACCTCCTAAGCTCTGGGTGTCTGACAGGTACCCCCTGACTGAGGGGTGATGTGTGTCTGTTCCCCTTCTTATGCCTTGGTGACTCCCAAGGACTGTGCTCCAATGCCTGGCCTGCTTGCTTGCCCACCGGGCTCGTCAGGCCAGGGCTTCTTCCAGTGTATGACCTGGTTGTCCCCCCTAGCTGTAGGCTCTCTGGCCCTTCTAAGTGACTGTCACTGTTGGGCGTTTCTGTAGAACCTCCTAGGTCCGTCCAAGACCTGTCAGGAGGCTGTCTATCCCCTGAATCCCGTTCTGTGTCCGGGCTTGCGTGGGTTTCAGTACTGTCCCAAAACTCAGTTGTCCCCTGAGTGTAGTCAGAGGTGTTGTAGTCGGGATTTGGTTCCTCGACCACCTCCCTGTGTGTTTGCCCCCTTCTAGGGACAGGGTTGAAGTCAGGCCAACTAGGAGGAGTGTGTGCCAGTTCTCTTGCAGGGAATGGATTGTTGGGATGCTCCCGGGTATTCTCTCTGACTGGAGTACAGAGTGATACGGGTGAAAAGTGATCATACCCCCGGGGTGACTCCCTGGCTGGAGTAGGCGTGAATGCCTGATAACTGGTTAAGCTCCTAGAATTCCTGTTTGGAGCACTCGCGGAATTTTGGGATGGGCCGTTTGTGGCTCCCTCATTGGTAAAGGGCAGCATTCCACGCCCCTCCCTTTGCCCAAAGGGCTCCCCCTCCCCCCCTGGAAAAGACCCAGGAGTCTCAGCGGGAAGGTCCCGTCTAGGGCGAAGTTGGTCAATGTGCCGACACAGGACACGACCATTGTCCAGGGATACCTTGTAGGATAGAGGACCTGTGACCCTGGATATAGAAGCGGGGACCCATGTATGACCAGGCCCATAATTACGAGTCCAAACCGGGGCACCCACAAGTAGTTGCCTAGGTGCCCTGGGGTGTGAGACAGAAGGAGGCAGTCTGTCCAGATGCAACCGGTCAAGCTTGGTAGTCAGTTTGCGCCCCCAACGAAGTTCAGCTGGGCTTCTCCCTGTAGAAGTGGACGGTGTGGTGCGATAAGAAAGGAGGAAGTCAGCCAACCTGTGATGCCAGTCCCCGTAGGTGAGCCTCTTCAAGGCGTCTTTGGTGATGCGAACCATGCGTTCAGCCATACCGTTGGTGGACGGGTGGAAAGGTGCAGAAGTGGCATGACGAATCATGTTAGCCTGCAAGAAAGCTTGGAATTCGGAGGACGTGAATTGAGGGCCGTTTTCAGACACAATGACGTCTGGGAGCCTGTGTGCAGCAAAAATCCCTCTCAGTACCTGAATACTCTTTGCAGTGGTGGTGGAAGAGACAGGTACAACCTCAAGCCATTTTGAATGGTTGTCAACGAGGACCAAGAAGAATTGACCCTGAAAGGGCCCAGCGTAGTCAATGTGCACCCTAGACCATGGAGACTGTGTTTCCTCCCATCTATGCACAGGAGCTTGGGGCATTTCAGGGCGTGAGTGTTGACAAAGGTGGCAAGCATGCACCTTCTATGTCTTTGTCTACACCTGGCCACCACAAGTGGCTGCGTGCAAGAGCCTTCATTCGTACAATGCCAGGATGACCCTCGTGGAGGGAATCTAAGACCCTAGTCCTCATTGAGGTGGGAATGACAACTCTGCTTCCCCAAAGCAGACAACCCTGAGAGGTGGACAACTCGTTCCTTTTAGACCAGAAACTCTGAAACTTAGGACTAGGACAGTGCTCAGGCCATCCAGACAAAACCCAAGAAAGGACACGTGAGAGTGTGTGATCTGTGCCTGATTCAGCGGCTACATCCCTGGCATTCAGGGGGGACTTGGGCAAGGCTTCAATGGAGAGAATATTGATGGCTGGCGCGGGGTCAGCCTCTATTACCGGCAGGGGTAATCTACTGAGGCCATCAGCATGGCCCATTTCCTTTCCAGGCTTGTGAAGTAGGGAAAAATCATATGTAGACAAAAAGATAGACCACCTGAGCATCCTGGGGGAGATGATTTGGGGGGGTTTGTTTACGTGTGGTAAACAGTCCCAACAAAGGCTTATGGTCAGTGAAGACCGTGAAATGCCTGCCATACAAAAAATCATGGAATTTTTTAATTCCAGCAACAACAGCTAAGGCCTCCCTGTCTATTTGAGCATAGTTGCGCTCAGCTGAAGACAATGTCCTGGAGTAATATGCAACAGGAACCTGAGTTCCATCAGCCCTGAGGTGGCTCAGTACAGCACCCACCCCATAAGGGGAAGCATCACAAGCGATGCACACAGGAAGGGACTCATTGAAGTGAGCAAGTACACTGTTAGAAGTAAGGCCTTGACCTCATTGAAACTAGCCTCATGTGTTTGTGACCACTGCCACACTGCCTGTTTGTCTAATAGCCTGTGAAGAGGATCAGCTACACTAGCCTTATGTGGAAGAAAGGAATTGTAGAAATTCAGAAGGCCCAGAAAAGCCTGTAGTTCGGCCTTAGACTTTGGCCTAGGGGCTTGCATAATGGCTTTTAGTTTGGATTCAGCAGGATGAATCCCAGCAGCATCAATTTTGAACCCCAGAAACTCAGTAGAAGGTACCCCAATTTTACATTTGTCCTTCTTGAGTTTGAGTCCCGTTTTCCTGAACCTTAACAGGACAGCCCTTAGCCTTTCAGCTAGAATGTGTGTGGAGTCTCCTGCAATTAAGACATCATCAAAATAGGGACAAATCCCTGGTATACCCCGTAGTGTGTTTTCCATTATGCTTTGGAAAATCCAGGAGCGACATTTACTCCAAATTGAAGTCTCTTTACCTTGAAAGCCCCTCTGTGGGTCACAATAGTCTGAGCTATAGCAGCGTCATCATCAACAGGCAGCTGTTGATATGCTTGAGCTAGGTCAAGCTTTGCAAAAACGCGCCCCCCCTTGAGGGAGGCCAGGATATGACTGACCACAGGAACAGGATAGGCATGTTGCTGCAATGCCTTATTTAGAGTGCATTTGTAATCAGCACAGATGCGAATGTCCCCATTTGCCTTAAGAGGCGTGACAATGGGGGTCTCCCATGGACTGGAGTCAACAGGTTCTAGAATTCCTTGTTGGATCAGTTTGTCCAACTCAGTGTCAATTTTACTCTTTAAAGCAAAAGGGACCCTTCTTGCTTTAATTCTAATGGGAGTGACCGTGGGGTCTAACTTTAACGACACAGGGGGTCCTTTGAATGTGCCCAGCTGGGGGCTGAAAACCTCTGCAAATTCTTTGCAGACTTCCTGTAGGTCGAGTGTTTGTAGGCTGTTGAGCCCTGTGACGTGTATCCCCAAGGCCTCAAACCACTCGAGTCCTATGAGACTCGTTCGTTCACCCTCTACTACTAGTAGGTCTAGTGGACCCTCAAAATCCTTATACTGTACGTTAAGGGTGGCCTCCCCCTTAACACACACTCTGGAGTTTTGAAAATCCGTTAGCACAATGTCAGAAGGCCTCAACTTGGCCTGGGTTCCGCTGCCGGAACAAATCTTCTTAAATGTGTGCATAGAAATGATCGAAAGTGCAGACCCCGTGTCCAGTTCCATAGTTAATGGAACCCCTTGTAGCTTCACCTTAAGTGACAGCTTTTTCTTAATGGGCTTGTGTGTGCCTGTCCTGTAGATGCTTCTTCGCGAAGCACAAAACCCCACCCTATTCTGGCTGGGGACCCTGGTACCTTTCAGGCGCAATTCTTCCTGAGGTTGTACCTTCTGACGGCCCAGGCACACAGCTGCAATGTGTCCTTGTTTTCCACACGCCTGGCAGATAGTGGAGCGGAACTTGCAGTCGGCTCTCTTGTGGTGACCTCCACAACCGATGCACTTGGGGAGATTTTCCTTCCTTTGTGGGGTGGAGACGGTCCACTTCCTCGTCCGGATCCTCCTCGGAGTTTCTTTGGACTTCTTCCTGGTGCACGGATGCGGCATCTGCACTGTTTCTGATCGGCCGCATGTTCTTGATGGCGCCGCCCGCTGCTTCTTCTGCGGTGACCTCTCTCAAGGCATCTTGGAAAGACAAGTCCTCCTTGGCGAAAAGTCTCTGTTGCAACTCTCGATGACTTAGCCCGCACACAAATCGATCCCTCAGTCGTTCTTCGAGGTCCTTGAACTCGCAATGTTTGGCGGCTTTCCTCAGTGCGGCGATGTACTCCTTGGCCGATTCTCCGGGTCGTTGATCCCTCTGCTCGAAGGTGTGGCACCATGCGATGACGGACATCTTGGGTTGGAAGTGCTCCTTCAGTAACTTCTTTAGATCTGCGTAGCTGACAGACTCTAAAGGAACAGGTGCTGCGAGGTTCTCAGCGATTTCGAATGCGTCTTGACCGCAAACGCACAACAGGGTGGCAGCCTTCAAGC